CTGTTGTGCCCTCCTGGCACAATTTTTTGTTCCTTGTCTAGGTGGGTGGTTCAATCTCTACACTTTCTTTATGCCAGGCCTGAGCTGAGCCTGGAGGGGACAAGTTGGTGTAGGGAGGAGAGGCAGCTCTCCCATACACTCACTGGGTCTTGGCTAGGACTGGGTCTGGGGTTTCCTGGAATGCGGCAGAAGTTCCTACTCGGTGCTCGGGATGGGGGATGTGCTGAGGAGTGGTGGTGGGTGTCCCAAGTGGGTGGTAGAGGCTCTCACCCACGCTGTGCCTCGGCTGGGACCAGTCGTAGGTCCCGCCATCTCATGGTAGCAGTAAGTCTCACTCTCCCTGGGCTAGAACTGGTTCTGGGGGGTCCCGGTATGAGGCAGAAATTCCTACTCGGGCATTTAGGGGAAGGAGCTGTGGAGTGGTGGGGTCACCTCAAGGGGGTGGAAGATGGTCTCACCCAAGCTGCTCCTGGGTTGGGACCAGTAGTATGTCCCACCGGCGCAGGGTAGCTGGAAGCTCTCCCACACACTCACCGAACCTGGGCTAGGACTGGGTCTCTTTATCACTGTTTGTTTATGGATTTATTTTTCTTTTGGTGACTGGTCAGACTTCTGTTTTACAATGTGTTGTACTTATTAGTAACTTTAAAGTAAAAAATAAAGAGTTGATTGTTCTCAGTGTAGCGTACTATATCATAGACTAGCATTAAGAAGCTGGAAAGGTATTTTAGAAATAATTTAATTCAACTCTCCCAATTAATAGATAAAAGAACATGCCCCAAGCTGTTTTAACTTTTATGTTTAGTTTGTATGTAGTAAAAAAGAATATTCATTGTAATCTCATTTATTCATTCAGCTTCAAGGCCAGGCTTTGCACAAGTTTTTAACTTTCTTATTTTGATGTTGAATAGCTCTGTCTTTGATGAATAATGAAATTCCTTTCCAATTTCTCAAATTTATTGTCATTCAAATCCTTCCTGTTCTATTTATTTCTTTATCCTGTCCTTATTAATTCAGCAAACTATGTAACAGGCTCCATTTATATA